GTGCATGCATTAATTGATTCTTACTTCTATTTTGATATTAAACTGACGGTAGTTTATAACAAGTCCAAGTTAAATAACTCCCTTACTTGTCTCTCCCAATATAGATACGGCCAAATTGCTTATTCCTGCAATTCCGACTGCATATGCATCGAGTTTGTATATGGTACAGCTTGCGAGTCCGATGATGATTAGACTGGTGGGGGAGGTTCCCGGGGTATAGTACTTGGCAGTTTGAACGTCGTCAATGCTGGCGGTCACCATGTAGGCTAAGGCACCAGCAATTGGTGAAACTGATAAAAAGATGTCGTTCTCGGTCGATGACGTTATAAAAACCCTGGATAAGTCCTGTGGTACTGTGGAAATAATTATTGCTTATTGAGTTATGATGTAATGTTTTGATAAATGTTTTCAGGCACTCGATTATAGAGGTTTAGATCTGTAAACTGATTACTGCTTATAATAATTCTTGCAGTACCGTAAACAAAATTATGGTATATGAGATTTATTCATCTTATTTCGCTTAAGGTGATGAAGAAATGGTGGTAGAACTTTTTTACAATGATATGGGTAGAACTGACGATTCCGTTGAATTTCAAATAGCCCTGTTTTCTCAAAGGTTGTTCTCATACAGTGTGGACTGCAGTTTCAATCTCATCTAGGTCTTGTCAACATCCCTAACGGGAATCGAACTGTGACAGTGCAATATGTGAGATTAACATGTTAACCACTCAGCCACATTGTCAATTGTGTCATTGAGTAACAGGGTAGATGTAAATTTCAAGGAAGGCCAGGTTTTTTTCCATATCACATTCATTGGTAGGATTTAGGTAGTGCTTATCTGCGTTATCTGCAAATAAACAGAATATTTGGGCAACTCTTAAATGCAAAGAGACAATCATATTCCCGTGGTGATCAAATATGATGGCGTTATTTTCCTCTTTCGCTAGGCCAACATTGACAGCTTGGATCGTTGATATACTCATTTTCCTTAAAATTTTGACAAGTAAAATCCCCTCTGTACTATTGAACGAAAGATTAATTGAATATTATCTCGTCTATCTGCCTCTGAGTTTTATTTCATGAAGTTAAGAGTCTCTGGACAAATAGCTACCGGTATAGAAATATTAACAGCATCCAACTTTCTCAAGCCAGCGTTTATTACCTAAA